GGGATGCAATTGTATCATGATGCTTTACGCAATGGATTGAACAATTTAATCTAGTACCTGCGTGGGAACTAGCCAAATAATGTTAACAGACGAACAAGTTGAACAAAATGACAGGTAACACCAATATATTCCCCTAAAGGTGGGTGTAATGTGTTTCATAATGAGAGTGAAAGATCAAAATTTGGAAAATTACTTACGTAAGACTAATGCATACTGGGAAGTTTTTGCCGAGTCAAACTTTCACCCTTCCCCATGAAATCAATTTTCACCAATATTAATATCACCTATCATATTTAATTACTATATATGTTATGTTGTTAACTTATATTAATTATGAAAATGATGAGCAACAACACCACTGAATCCAGTACAAAATGTGATGCTTGATTTACATCCTACATGCTGCCATGGTGGGTTTTTTTAATATTTGTTTTATTTTCAAAAGAGTTTTTTCAATACAGTGACAATAATAATGGATCAGTAATTCATTCATATCATATAATAACCTATTTGTCACCAATCATCTTTCATATCAACATTCATACCATACAAATTATGCCAAAAGAAATTTGTATCACTAAAGACTGCATATGGATAGGTATTATTTCATTTAATATCACACTGTATTGCTGTAAGGAAGAAGGAAGGATAAAAGGAGAGAAAGAGAAGCTGGTAAGAAACAAAAAAGAGAAAGAAGAAAAGACAAAGACAGATATCAGAACAAGCATGTCAGGGAAGAAAGTCACAACAGAGCTAGATACTTATTAAAGTTAAGTAACAGAATTGTTACTGAATAATTAAGATATCAGCCTAAATCATGTCAGGTTTTAGGCAAAATCAACTGATTTCATCCATTTTTTCCATTCTTTTAAAACAAATTGTAGACAAGGATCACTTTTACCATATGAAATATATTTTTGAACCACATAGTTTTCTTTTATTACATTAGCTAGAGCCATAACAGAGAGAGTACCATGGAAGAAGAACTTCATTATCAATGCGATTGTAAATGCCTGTGTTATTTACCAAACCAAAAAACAATGTTTCTTCATTAATATGTAATGTAATTGTTAGTGCAACCTCATCACATTCCCATAACATATGCACGATTGACTCCCTTTCTCTATTACAGAAATTACAATTAGGATGGTTTGATAAGCCTATTTTATGTGCATAACAAGAGGCCCAATGGGCCTGCATCGCTCACCTGGTATAAATATCACACTTGTAACCTTAAAAGTGATCTAAAATAAAGCTACAGGCAAAATAAAATATCAGTATTTATGATTAAAATTCATTCAAAAGAACCTGTTATTTTTTTTTTAAACATTTCACCCCTGTGATTGAAAATCGAACACAGTCATTATGTTGAACAAATTTAATAGCCTTTCATCTCAGGATGCAACTTGCAAAGTATCAACATCCTGGGACCCATGGTTATTCAGAAGAGGTCGTTTAAAGATTTTAAACAAATTTGACCCCTGTGACCTTGAATATAAGTCAAAGTCATTCACTTTAACAAACATAGTAGTCCTTGATCCCAGCATGCTACTGACTAAATATCAACATCCTAAGCCTTTTGGTTATTCAGAACAAGTTGTTT